TCTTCTTGGTGAGTCAGTTTTCCACATCAAGGAGTTTTAAAAAAGGGGTGACTTTACCCACAGAGTTTTATCTGTTTTATCTGTTAGTTCACGTGGGCAGTTCTCTCTCTCCTCCTGTGCTGCTACAGCTGGGGACTCAGGACTCCCACCCAGTGCCCTTTATCACCCCACTGCTCTGCGCGTGCTATGCCAGCGAGCACCACCTCCACCATTGAGCCATCATGCTCAGCCTATCACCTCATGCTTTCCAAAACAAAAAGATATTTTCATTCATAACTTTTACTCCTTCCCAGGGGATGTGAGAAGCCTTGTTTATCCAGAGATCCCCTGGGCTACGTCTATATAAGCTCCAACCCCTAAAGGATCAAGTCGGCCAGCTAGAAGATATAGAGCAGACAATAAGCAGACCTTTGAGTCTATAAATTGGAGGTTGAATGACTGGCAAACAACTTCTCCTCATGAAAAATTATGCTACAGCAACACAATAGTAATGAGAGCCAAAAGTATGTCTATTCCTGATTTGTAGACCAGGTTTTAGTTATGCTATAATCCTCTCAGTATGCCTGCTTAGGATCCCGCAATCACACGAGTCATGAACACTACCCACAAATCGTGCGGCTTCCATGCCGAGCAAGCGACACACCAGATGAAGAAGGATGGAAAATATACATGTGGAATTGTTCTGGGAACTTAAAGCACACATAACAGTAAACAAAGCAAATATGGTGCAAAACCTGTTGCTATTTTCACAGCATTTGCGGAGCAAAGCTGCATAAATGCAGAAAGATGCATACTGCCTCACACCTTTCCTCCAATCCCAGCAAATTAAGCACAGCAGCACAAACAGCAGCAGTGAGAAGGAAAGGCTATGCAGAACAGCTGCCCCATTTGCTGCTGCACTACAGGTATATGTTTGGGTATGTGAGAGAGAGATGAATAAAGAGCATTAAAATTACTTTTTCTCAAGTCTCCTCCAGAGCCTCGGTTGCTCATGGGGAACTGAATGGGGAGAAATTCCCTTGGTGCCATCCTCCCTCCTCCAGGCACAGTCTAAGCCAGTTTGAAAAGGTTGCTGCTGTTGTCCCCTGTCCCACTTGAGGACAGTTTTCATGAAGCCAGTGCCAGTTTGGTCTGATAACTAAAAGGCTGCCTCTGCTCCCCACAGAAAAGGCAGTGCCGCTGTTGGATACTGGAGCACTGGCTGAACGAGAGGCACTACAGACAAATTTTGGCTGGTGGCAGGAGAGATGGCTGAAAGCCAGCTGACAGAGAAGAGCAATATCAATCTCTATGCTGGGGGAATCCTCTGAAAATGCTACTGAAGCAAACAGCAACCGCTAGCGGCACACTGGCAAACAAGACATGAATGATCTTGCACTCATGGAGGAGAGAAAAAGGCAAACGGCTGAACTGAAGTGATCAACATGAACTTGAACCGTGGCACAGGGCAAACATGTGGCATGCCGTATGGAAACTCAGAACAAAACAGAAAGCTTGGAACAAAATGAAATTAAAAATCTGCCTTTATTTCAAATTACTCCACTAAACATCTAACTGAAAATTGTGTTGAAGTTGACATGACTTTGTGACATGTTGTTCCTTGAAGACTGCCATTTTTCATTTTAAAAAAAATATTAAAAATGTTTCAATCTGGTTATCTTCTATCCAGCAAGGCTAGAAAACATTAAATTGTGAGCTAAAATATAACACCACACCATTAGTCAGCAACAGATAGCTGTTCAGTCAGCATCCATCATAATATTTTCAAAAATCCATAGATATCAAATGCCTGGAACAGAAAGACAGCAATCACTCCAAGCATGGATTCATAACTTTAAATGCGCTTGATAAATTAACTTTTTAAAGACAGGTCCCATGCAGCCTCCCTTTGTCTACTCTTTCTAGATATAAGCTATCTGGGAAAGTGTGATCAAATCTCCAAAACAGATGAGCCTTCTGTCTCTGTTCCCCTACAAACAAGAATGACCCTCACATAAGCTACACAGTCCTGAAGCATGATGGCATTCTGTATTCTGGGTTTTCTACAGAACAGCCTCACACCAAAGCATTCCTGCAAAAGTACCTAAACTGCCAAATTTGATGAATGGCTTATTTGATGAATGGATTTTAAGAAAAACTTAAAATTCTTCCTGTATAATTTCTAATAAGTATCTGAATTAAATCAGATCATGAAGAATTAGATCAAGAAGAGTTAAAATTAAGGATCTACAGATCTCTCCTATGAGAAAAGGCTGAGAGATCTAGGACTGTTTACCTAGGAGAAGAGAAGCTTCAGGGGACACCTCATCAATGTATATAAAAATCTGAAAGGAGGGTGCAAAGAGGACAGAGCCAGGCCCTTCTCAGTAGTGCCCAGTGACAGGACCAGAGGCAATGGGCACACACTGAAACACATAAGAAAAAAGCTTTGAGAGCGTTCAAATACAGGAACAGGTTGTCCAGAGGGGTTGTAGAGTTCCCCTCCTTGGAGATATTCAGAAGCCATCTGGACACTGTCCTGAGCAACTGGCTGTAGGCAGCCCTGCTTGAGTAGGGGGGTTGGACCAGATGACCGCTGGAGGTCCCTCCCTGCCAACCTCAACCATCCTGATTCTGTGATAAACAGATGAATCATCATCACTTACTGGAATTTACTGGACCGTATCTGTCAATAACACACCTATTTGTCCTATAATACACCTAAAGCCACAACAAGACTAGAGGGATAGCTCCACTAAGCTCAGCTACCAGGCCTAAAGCTAGCCCAAAAAGCTTATACGTAAAACCCAAACATACCTGCAACATTACAGTATAAAACCATATCCACAAATTTGCAACTCCCCCCCCTCACATTCATTAAGTTCACTGATGAGATTAGAGAACTAATTTCCATTGGCAAACTCTATGGCTATATCAGTGAATGACCAGAGTGGGAGCCGAAACCACCATCATCAGAGCCAAAGGCAGTGGATAGTCAGTTTTAGTTCTTGCTCTCTGTACTCTAAGGAATACTATAATCATAGAAACACCTCCTAGCTTATACAGTTTATTTGCCTGACGGTGTGAGATTCTTCTCTACAATAGTTTTTAACACTTGCTTTTGCCAAGTTAAAAGCAATGCATCTCATCTAAGCAAAATGAGCTCATTATGAGCCCCCTCAGACACTGTATTTTGCAGTACCCAATGGATCATGGTGCTGCATCATCTAACAGGTCAGGTGCCAAATTGTTCATACAACACGCTAGCCCAAAACCAGAGACAGCAACATAACAGAATCCCTCTGAGTGCTGGGCCCCAATACAAATACTCTCGCCACCTTGCTACAGCACAGTGTCCTTTTCCCTGATCAAGCCACAGCTGACCAGTCCTGGTATCTCACGGATGTGAAATGTGTAACCACTGGGTCACGCAGTAGTAATGTGCAAGGAATAGGTAAGGCTGTGGAAGAGTGGGAGTTAATTTTGGGAGTCACATACTTAGATGCAGCTTTACACCTCCGTAGTCCTCCAACAGCCCAACCTGATCTCCAGGGATCCCACTAGAGATCACCAGCCTCTTTCACCCTGTAGAGGACTTTGATAAACAATTCGAACTGCGGTCACCTGAAGGGGTTCACAAAAGGAAGAAAAGCAACCCTAAAGGAAGCTGCTGTAAAAGAAGTAACCATGATGAGAAACATGAGGAGAAAATGCCAGAAAGCTGATGCAATCATCCTCTCTCTGAACACCCAGTTACATGGGATGAGTTGTCCCAAAGACGACCTGCTGTGCTCCTACTTCTCACCAAACCCATTTGGGTTTCATATTTGTGGTGTCATCTTCTGCTGGGTAACAGTTTCTTTGTGAGGTTCCCTACATGAAACCTAAATGGCACAAAAGCAGATCTCATCTATTTCAATATTTTTCCAGTATATCTGCTTTCCATCTGTAAAGGTACTCAGATGTTTTCAGCCACGTTTCTATCTCAGAGAATGAACTGAGGAAGCCAGCCACACAAACTGCCCAAGATTAGGAAATAGAAAGCATTTCACAGCTATCTAAACCAAATAAAATACAAACCAGTTCCTTACTTTCAGCTTTAAATGCAGAAAAGACCATTAAACCAGTTATTTTAAAATAATAAGGCAGCACTAAAAAAATGAAGACATGATAAAAATAAGATTGTTCGCATACCCCTAGCTCGCTCACCATGAGATTTTTTCCCAGACACTTGTTATTTTTCTGCATATTTAAACACAGATGTAGGTGCTTAGCAACTATAAAACAAAGTCATTTACCTGAATAACTGAGTATAGATTAAGGTATTTCATTTTATATACGTACTTTTAAAATATTGTGTCTGTTTTATAATATTATTTAACACCTAGAGAGGTAGAATCCTCATATCTGGATTCCAAAACCAAGCCACTTATCTTTACATTTAAGCAATTAGGGATTTGAGTCTGCTATGTAGGTATCTGTGTGAGTGTACACATGTGCATTCATGGGTATGCATGTGTATATACAAGTTACCTACATATACAGTGGGTAAGAACAGAAAAAGACCTAGGAAAATAAATTATTAACATGTTAAAAGTATTGCATTAGTCTGAGAATAAATGCATTTATATAATGTAAAGGTCTGTATCATTCAGTGTATCAAGAATTGTTACAAAGCACAAAGAGTATTTTGTTAGAAATACCTGTATTTTAAACTGTAGAGAAACAGGAAAATCAGGAAAGTTTCATGGAGCCATTGCACTGCACCATTTCACCATTATTTCCAAACACAGAACATGGATTTATCAAGTTACTTGAAACTGTCTTCATAAGAAGTTTTGCTGAATGAATTAGTCAACAGTATATAAAAAAACATTTCCCTGGAGTGTGCATTATTTTCCACCACTTGTGAGCAAAACAAAGTTTTTGAAGAGGAATAAGACATTTTGTTACACTAACTGGTCTGGCTGAAAAAAAACAGGGTTTTTTTAAGCACACAAACTTTTCTTCAGATCTCTTACCTATTTGTTTCCTGTATTGGTCAACAGGAGTCCTTGCTGTAGAAGCATCTTTTCTACCCATCGTTTTCAATCCAAAAATCACTGTCAGTATCGAAGGAAAAAAAAAAAAAAAAAAAAAAAAAAAAAAGTTACTAAGGAAATCAATGACTTATAACATCAGAAAAAAACTGTAACAAGTAACATTACATGATTATACACAAAGATATAAGCCTTTCCAGAGTACAATGAGACACTAGAGTTAATCATCACTATTCTGAAGACTATTAGATAATTTCTAAACATACCTTTTCCCCATTGCAAGGGTTATTAACATTACAGAATGCCTGTTAGTTTGAATTTAAAAAAAAAGAAGGATTTAAACTGATTGCACTGTAATTCAGCATTTGCTACCACTGAATTACATTCCTATATAATTTTTTTCTTTAGTAAACCAGGGAGTGAATGTAGTATTGTGAGCTGCTTCTATTGTTGGCAAACACATGTACACTGTACCCAGGAGTCTGAGGCAGGAGTAAGCATGTGGAATGGAAGTGTGGAATGGAAACCCACCTGCAGACACAGCCCTTCAGCCACCCTGAGCAAAAGAGAAGAACAGATGCCTAAAACACAGCAATCCCACACTCTCCTACCTTCCTGCCATGGGCTCTAGAGGTCTGTGAATGCAAAGAAAGTGGAGAATAAAAATGAGAGCTGGGTCTGTGCCCATTTTACACCTCTCAGCCAAGGTACTGAGAGTTTAAATCACTTCTAGGCATTTAGGTATCAACCATCCTGACTCTCCAAGGGGCTTCTTATGTTGCACAGTGCAAGCAGGTGACATCAGGATTGCACAGGGAACTGCACTATCATTCAACCAAAGATGGGGTTATTTTTGTATTTTGGTGCTCTCACACCATCTGTGTAACTAAACAAGCACCATCTCAGTAGTGTTCTAGCAAACTCCCATTATACCCATTTACTAATAAGAGACCTTATGGTCTCTTATTCATCCCCTTACAGGGCTGCCACTCAAAAGATACAAGAAGGTGAACATGCCCAGTTTATCTCTTTTTCCATAGTCAAAAAATACCTGGCTTTCATGCTTGTTGCTCAAAACACTGGTTTTCAACCATTTTCGCTGGGCTGAAGACACCGCTCATCATAGTGAAGATAAGCCCCACTATTTGACCACCTCTATGACATAAGCATCCTGACATCAACCCCACACTCGCAAGAGGACTGACATTTTCAACAGTGTCAGATTTACCGTTCAAGCACAGAAGATGTACAACAACCAACATCTGCCTTTTCCCAACTGGCCTTGGTGAACATAGTGCCAAGGACAAACTTTGGCCGAACCATCCTGGGTAGCCACAAACCATCTGCAAATGGTGCACATATGGCGTTGAAGTATCTGCAGGAGTTCTGTTTTTCTGTTAGGCATAACCAGCTGCATTACAGCAAGACAAGCTTTCCCAGGCTCTGCCAAGGCATGCTGTCTGGGAAGCGCAACCCTTGAAGGCACTGTGATACCAAACCATGGGCCAAAAAGCATGCCAAGGCACTGCTGAATGGGCTACTGTCAGCATCCCAACCTTAAACATCCACCATTTTCCTCCACAGCTTCAAACAAGGTTTAAAGCATAGCTGCAGGAATGATCCCATCAGTTATTCATGCATTTTAAAACCACAAAGTTTCTTTTATCTGTTCTGTAAGAATTATTGACATTTAATGTCAAGTGACAAATCCAGGCTCTTTAAACTAAAGTGTGTGACACGGCCTAAAAAGAACTTTGGTGCTCAAAGTCAGCAACCTTTTTTAAAGGTATTCAGGAATAATAACAAGGTATAAAAGACTGCCATTAGTTTTTAATCTGAAATGGAAACTCAATTATAGTGTACTAATGTTTCCATACATTACTTTGGGTTAATTCAGAGAATACTCCCATTTTATGTAAAACACCAAAGCAGTGAACTGTAATCCACTGGGGTTTTTTTTCCCCTCTGTTATGCTTCCCATCTATTCTCTAGACTGAGTTGTATTTCTCACATAACATTCACATCATAGTAACAAGAGTGGAAAATAAAAGTACCGTTTGAACTTTCAGCTAGTTGAGGAGATAACAGATACATTTTTACACTGCAAAACTTCTTGGCTTCTTAATGCCACTGTTAAGATACTGTTTTGACTTGCCTTTTGCAATTTCAATAGCCTATTAATGTTTTGTAACAAAACATCAGCTGTGAAAGATGTTTGCAGTTTTAGCAGTGCCAATAAAACACAAGAAGAAAACACAGGCAAGAATTGTTTCCCGACTTAATATGAGCCACATGATGCTTGCATTTGCCCGCATGGCTCGGAATCACCAACTCCCGTATCTAGAACCTCGACTCCTCTTTGTTCTTCAAAGGGATGCAGTAATCATCATTCATTTCCACCGCTTTGATGGTTAGATAGCAAATGCCCAAGAAACCCATAGAGACATTAGCACATACAGCCGCAATGTCTAATAAGACAGCTATTTGCATAAAAGATCAGCCACAATTTAGAATGTGTTGTGATAGATGTGGAAAGGGAATAACAGCTCTATATTAGCATGTATGAAACCAAGATTGTTTTCACAATTTAATTCCTCAGGGACTGTGGCTCATCACCTTCTTGTAAAGAATCCTGCATTCCCTGAGGAAGCAACTTGCCATGAGCCAGAGTTAAACTAAAATATGGATTAATAAGAGATAATATTTATTATTTATGAACCTTGCTGTAGGAGTGGTTTCCGATGTAACTTTCTGATCATATTTCTATAAAGGAAAAGCCTGGAACATTTACAAGTCACGAAACAATTTGAAAAGCGCCTTTTCCCCATTTAAAATCAATGTGGTCATCCTACAATAATCGATCATCTTAACTTTAAACGAAATTTGCAGTCAAGTCTTTCCCAGCTGTCTCTGGCTGCTCCACTGCCTCCAACGTCAGTGAGTGGAGGATCTGGCCTTTCCTCCATTTTCTTGCCAAATTGACGGAATGGACAGCGTGCCATACTGCATGCACCCCAAGCAGCCTTCAGGTCCCTGGAATTTTACTAACTACATAACCATTTAAAAAAACCTATAAAGGAGCTTGTCACTGCCCTTTTTACAGGCTACTAAAAATACTTCAAGAGTAATTTCAGATCATCTGAAGGCAATGTGAGCCCTCCTCAACTTTCGAGCTCTTACAAAAGATGGTTTTAAGAAAATGAAGTGAGGCCCAATGAAAAGATGTTTTGTTTATTGCCATTTCAGATATACTACAAGGTCAAAAGACATCTTTGGTTTTGTGGTTCCCTTCACTATTTTTCACCCTCTTTCTCTTGTAATGCATCTTTGAAGGCTTACACCCTTGGAAGAACACATGACTTTTCATCCTCTTTTATTCAAAAGCAGTGGCTGATGATAATTATTACATGCAATAAATCGCCTATTATCACCTCCAACTGTCAAAAGCATTTTGTGAGATAAGTTCTGAATGTCTATTCAAGTTCTGGCCACAGGAGTGTTTAAATCACAACTTGCTACTCTTGATGCATACACAGCCTGTACCAGCCACAAACAAACAAACAAAATTAAATAAAATAAACATTAAAGCAATTACTTTAATAAAATAGAAACAAACTGTGAATTACTTTAGAAATACTAATAAAAAACAAGTACAGGGACTATATAGCACAAAGGTTGCACTTTGTGCGTTTGTGGTGCAATACAAATGATTAATGGCAGTGATAAGGCTTAAAGTGTGAAGCAGGGAACACTCAAAGTTCTACATATGTGCATGTGTACAAACTTTCTTAGCTATTATGTTTGATAGTATGTTTGTATTCTTCAACAATAAGCTGCCTAAATATTAAAAGAGTGCATGTGAAAGAAATGATCAATGAAACGACTGGTTTTGTACCTGAAGTATAGCTAGGCAGTTGAAAGAAAAGTAGTAAAACTTCAGGGTAGGAAAGAAAGCACAGAATGTAAAAGTACTGGACCAAGTCTTCATCTGTAATTGAAAATGCAGGTGAATGCACAGAGAATATCTGCAATATCTGCATATATGAAGAAGCACCTCATCCTTAAGTGCAAATGGGCATCTAATCTAAAAATTTTTTTTTTTTGGATGCAATGCAGGTTGATAATTTGAATGCATAACCCAAATTATTCTTTAATGTGATTAAAAGTTTACTGATGTCAGTGAAAGAATTGCTCTTTTACCAGTTAATTCCATAGCTCATAGTTTAATAAATAATGATATTAAAACCCTTAAAAGTTACAAGAGAGCATAAATAGCCTGTTTCCCTCCTCTGGTAAAATCCAAGGAGCACATCAGATCCTCTGTGAACATCAAGTTATTGCAAAGAACTGGTAGCACTGTATTTAACATGGGAAGCTGTCTGCATGTAGGTATTTTGGAAACCATTGTTGTTGCTTATTTTAATTGGCTTTTTTTGGTGTACTGCTCAAGTACAGTAACAAAGGTCTGTCTGCAGCAGTGGAAGAAATGCAGTGGAAGTACCCTGCTGCAAAACTGCAATAATAAGGCAGCTGAATACTTTAACCATACTTTAGCCGAGAGAAAGAATTTAAAAACCTTTGCTACTACTACTTAAAGAAACTATACAAACAAACAAAAAAACCTGAAAAAAAAAAGTTATATTCATGTTCTATTGATAAGTCTTGAAGTAGTCTTCATCATTCCTCTGGCAAGTCTCTCTCAAAGGATAAGAGTATTATTTCAAAAGAAAGAGTAACTGCTCATAGTGCTTCTTCCAGAATCTAGCTCTACTTTCTTTGGGTATTTACTTAATTTTCTTTTAATAAAAATAAATTAACATTTCTTTACTTAATTTAACCTTGAAAGCAGCAGAGGTGATTTAAATTCAGTTAAATTTATGAAAACGAATCAAAAACCAAGGATCCGTAACTCCAGTGGAACAAATATTACTAAAATAATCTTAACTTTCTACAGAAGGACAACAAACACTGCACCATATCCCAAGATTAAAACCATCTAGGAATTACAACTTTTGTTCTGACACATCTCAGGCTATTTCATAGTTTCACGTAAGCACTAGGAA